AGGAAGGGGCGGGGCTTCAAGGAAGGGGCGGGGCGGTAGATCTTGGCTTGGTCTGTCATTTAAAAAGTGATCTTGGGTGTAAAAGGTTGGAGACCACTGCCCTAACTGGTGTTAAGTCTTTAAGGGGCCACCGGACTCCGGGAACCAGACCGACCCGGCTGCCTCTGACACGCCACCCGCGAAAGGCTCTGAACAACGGTCTCGCCAGGGCTTCGGCGCCCAGGCTGACGCGGGCTCAGGGCCGCACTGAGCAGCATCTCCGCCACCAGCGCGCCTGCCTGGGAGAAATGCGCCAGCGCAGAGGGGAGGGGCTCTGCAAACGGCAGCAGGGCTCACCCCCCGGAGTGCGTCGTTGGAGCTCGGTGCTGGGGCCGAGGGCTGCTGGTTTTACACAAGACCCGCTCTCCCCCTCCCAGGCCCGTCAGCGGTGCGGTGCTCCGACCGCAACGACGCTGCAGGTGTATTTCTTGGGGGAACTAGCAGAGGAAGGTTTTAAGGCAGGGCTGCTCTCCAGCCCTGCCCTCCCCGATTCTGCGCAGCCAGGGCACAGGGCAGGCAGCCTCTCAAAGCCAGAGCCGCAGGAGAAACCCACCAAGGGTGCCAGGGGACCAGCAGGGTGCCAGGGGCAAGGGCAGACGCCGTCCCATGTTCCCTTCAGACCGCCACATGCCTTGGGACTGGACTCTCGGATTTCTGAGTGGAAGGGCCAAGGGGCTTCAGAGTCCAGCTCGGGCTATTTTCAGCTCTTGGCTTACAAAGCCAGGCTATTTCCGAAGGGCTGACAGCCTGCGCCAGCAGCAGGGGACGCAAGCGGGACGGACGGACCTGCTGGTCTTGACGGGGGAGTTTGCCTTGGGATGCACAGGCCTTGTGCTGGCTTGAACAGCCTAGACGGAAAGGAAGGCTCCATTTCGGCCAGCCACGCACCTTCTGCTCGGCGCTGCTGAGGCGGAGGGGACTCGGGCTTGGACGCACATGCCAGACAAACGTGCTCTGAAACCGACCCTCGCCGGGTTGAATTCTGTCTGCAGACACCGTGCTTTCCTGCTGCCCAAGGCCTCGGGCGGGGGGTCGGCGGGGACTGGCTGAGCCCGGTGCACAGCAGGCCTCCTGGCTGCAGCAGCCTTTTGGAGCTCGGCGCTGCTGAGGCGGAGGGGACTCGGGCTTGGACGCACATGCCAGACAAACGTGCTCTGAAACCGACCCTCGCCGGGTTGAATTCTGTCTGCAGACACCGTGCTTTCCTGCTGCCCAAGGCCTCGGGCGGGGGGTCGGCGGGGACTGGCTGAGCCCGGTGCACAGCAGGCCTCCTGGCTGCAGCAGCCTTTTGGAGCGCGCCCGACCACGCACCCCCCCCCCCCCCAGCCCAACGGCGCGGTGCCAATGCCGCACGTGTGTCACAGCAACACGCAGGCGTCAGCACTTGGATTCTGCTGCGGGACAGAGCCGAAGGGACGAGCTGGGCTCATGTGAGCAGAGGGGCTGGACCTGCTCACGAGGCCGCAGCGGGGACGCCGGGACGCCGGGCTTCTGGGCACAGGGCTGCCACGGCACCGGGCCATGGCACCAAGCCACAGCTCTAGCCCTCCTGCACCCGGTGTGGGAAGGCAGGCAGCCAGGTGCCAGCAGGGAGGGGTCCGCATAAGGCCCTGTCTGTCCGAGGCATGCACCGAGCCCCGTCGCGGCCGTACCGGAGCCCCTCACGACCCACGGAGGGCGGCAGGGCCGGCTCCCCGCTCATGGCAGGCACCGAGCCCCGTCGCGGCCGTACCGGAGCCCCTCACGACCCACGGAGGGCAGCAGGGAGGCTGAGGGACTTGCCCAAGAGCACACTGGACCCCTTGCTGGCCATAAGCCTTGAGAGAGGCAGCAGCGCATTTGGAGCCTCTGCAGGGACCCAAGTGTCCCAGGCCCAGGCTAGAGCCCTCCCCACTGGACCAACCTGCCGCCCATACCCAGGAAGCACCTGCAGAGGCGGCATGGGGCATGCAGGGCTTGGCCCCCCCTCCGGAGAGGGGTGAACCCACCGGCTAGGGCGGAGCGACCAGGCCCCTCTGCCTTGCGGGCCGGGGGGGTCAATGTTTGAGTTCAGCCCCCCGCCAGCGCTCCCCCCCGAGCCAAAGGGAACAGTCTCCCCTCCCGGCTGGAGCAGCCGCGCTCTGGCGGCCGGAGGTGCCGACACGCCGGCCCCAGAAGAGCCCTTCACAAGGGGCTCAGGGACGAGGCTGCTTTGGTTTCTGACCTTGCCCTGATTACTGGGCTGCTCCCGCAGGGCACGGGACCCCTCCCAGAGCACGGAGAGGCAGTCTGCGCGGGCTGCCACGGCCCAGCACTCAGGGAAGAGTCTGCCGGCACCCGGGAAAGCCCCAGAGAGCCGCGAGAGGCCTGTGCACGGGCGCTGAAGGCCGGGCTGTTTCCACTGGCCCCACCGGTACAAACGAGGAAGGGGATGGAAGTGACGGGAAAACGCCCAGCCCGGTCCTACTTCGCCACCTTGCCCAAGAGCCCAGGCCTCTGTGACGTCGTGGGGGGGGCTGTCTGCTCTGTGATCCGGGGTCCCCCTGCGCAGTGATGGGTCATTCCCACTGACTCACCCACATGGGGATGGGCCCAGACACCTAGTCCCAGCCTGGGCAGGGAACAAGGCTCTTCCGGGGGAGAGACAAAGGGAGGGAGGCGGGGACGGGGCAGGGGCTGGGGGCTGGGCAGCCTCTCCTGGGAAGACATGAAGAGAAGAGACTGAGCTGAGTGCTGGGGGTTCAGGAGCCTGGGGACCCCACCCCAAGGGGTCTGAGGCTGCCTGGGCCTGGCTCCTGTAGCCACATCACGGCTGTGCTGGGCTGTACCTGGAGGAGCAATAAACCCCCCTGTTCTACTGGCGGGTGGAGTCTGTTCTTGCTGCTCCGGGGCTGCAGGATCGCGGGGAACCCCGACGCGCCAGCACAGTGACATAGCAGGGATTTTGTCTGCTCTTGTAGTCCTGTGGTCACTCTGTTATAGTCACTGGTGGCTTTGTTGTGCTGTATGCGCCTCCCACTGTCCTATGCTGCTCTGCAGTGACTGTGTGTGTGTGTGTGTGTGTGTGTGTGTGTGTGTGCCTCAGTTTCCCCATGCACTGCAACACTATCTGCAAGAGGAGGGGGAGACCAGGCTTGATTCACTGTGGAAGTATGTTCAGTCTCTCACGTCCTGAGGACCAGGTGACAGCAGATAGCACCTTGGGCCTGGAAGCAGGACAAAGCAGGAGGTGGGGCTGCCTGTGGGCTATGAGTGTGAGTTAGTTCTTCTGCTGACTGGGGGAGACAGGAGCCTCGCCGGCCTTGGGGGCTGGGG